AAGCCTCATGCTCGCTTCCAGCTGCCTGGCTGCCAGCCGCCATCTTGGCTGACAGTTAATTTGCATAAGGATATGCTGATTAGCCAATGGGAAGGGTAGCGGTCGTACGCCAATTACCATGTTTCTCTTTTATTAATGTAGATAGCTTGACTACTGCTGTCCTTTTAAATTTGCCTGATACATCTTTACCTCTCAGTTCACGTACATATTTTGTGTCACTTTGTTTGAGAAATGCTAATTGAAATCACATTTGGCAAAATACTGTTTTTCATCTCTAATCTAAAAGTTTTTCTTTGTCTTTTAACAGGAAAGTTACATTTAGTTTTATTATTAAATTTGCAATATTTTATTTTTTCTATCTTAGCTGATTGTAGTTCTCAAAACATCATATCATACCATGATTTATCCATTCTTTTATTAAATTTCTTTTCATTGTTAAATGCATCATACATATAATGCAATGAATTTACATATATACTATACTTAAAAGTTAATAGGAGATTGAATAATTATCTAATATTCACTACCCAGTTTAAGAAACAGAGAATCATGAATAATTTTAAAGCTCCCTGCTGACCTAGCTAATCACATTCTTTCCTGGATTTAATATTATTCTATGTTTTGTATGAATTTCTTTGTTCTTTCCTCTGTAGCTTATATATATAGCACAATATTCAGTTTGCCTATTGTTTAACATTATGTGAATGCAACTGATACTTGTTATTTTTGGTTGGCATTGTGTTTTATAGTGGTAGCTATGGTTAATTTATTTTGCTTAATATATGGTATTCTGCACAAATTTGTACAAACTCCAGAAAACGCCAGTAACATTATGTACTGTATGAAATGTGCAGACTATGTGAATGGTGCCCCAGAGCTGAGCAAGGCAATGACCCTGATTCTTTCCTCTGCATGAGTGCAACATGATTTATTCATTTTAATAATTCAGTGTTTTTTCTATATTTCTACATTTTTTTCTTGCTATGATGAACAATGTTGCTATGAGCATTATTTTGCTTGCTTTTTGAACATAGAGTTTTTCTAGGGTTTCTAGCCAGGAGTGGAATATCTGGTCATAGTAT